CTTCTAGCATGGTCACAGATTTTCAACAGTGTTTCGACCTGAAATTCATTTTCTGAGTGGAAGCACCCGACGTCATTGTCAGGCCTTCTCCTTATTTCTGATCCCCTGCCCCAGGGGTGTGGAAGCTTTTATCTGCCAAGAGCCACTTGGATCTCTATGACATCACTGGTCGCCATACAAACTGATCAACTTATAATTAGCCTGCTATGGATTTGAGTCTCGAGTCTTGTCTGCAGGCCTTCTATGGCCCACAGACCAGGGGCAGGGAGACTGCTACTTCCGGTGAGCCCCGGCCGTGTGGACCCGAGGGCACGTGTTTCCTCTAAAAGATCATGGAGCTGCCAAGGGGTGGGAGATGAGCTCCGTGGGGAAGGCGGGAGCACGGCTCTGAGGCCCCGCCTGCCCACGGGCCGCTGGCATTGGACGGACAGACAGTCGGGCAGGTGTGCAGATGGATGCTGGCGGCCTCGCTGGTTGGGGAGACCAGGGTGTTCACGGGGAGGCTGCCCTCGCAGACCGGGGAGACAGGCTCTTCCCTTGCTCCCCTCCTCCCTCTCTGTCCTGCCCCCACCCCCTCCTGAGCAGTCCCTGGTCCTCTTCCAGAGAGAGGTGGCCCCTCTAAGAGCCCCAAGTGGGCCCAAGTCAGTCCGCTCTGGTGCCCCTGGGGAGCCAGGCCAGGCAATGTCGGGGCTCAGTCTCTGGGTGGGAGGAGAGGAGCTGACACTCAGCTCCTGCTGTGAGCCCTAGACTGCGCCCAGGCCTCTACTCTCCAGGGGCCGTGTCACCGCTTCAGATAAAGAACGAAGCCACGTGGGCTGGCGACAGAGGAGCCCGGAGGACACGTCCCTGGCCGTCTCCCAGCGCCGGGAGCCGCTCACCTCCCGGGGACAGCACCTCTGTGCTGCGTGCTTTGCTCTTTGTCTCTCAATCTGGCACAGGGATCTGAGTACCACAGGCGCGGTGCCGGGGGAAAACGTGGGCCCCAGCGTCCACGTGCCAGGAACGTCACCCCCCACTTCCTGTGTGGATGGGATTTGGAGGTGAGTAGGGTAGATGTGGTCACGATAGCATAGGAGGCTTTACAGGAAGAGACACAGCCATGGCACCCTGTGCCACTAGCCAGGGACCTGGCAGATGCCAGTGCCACGCTCTTGGACTTGGCCCCCAGAACCTCTTTTCTTTGTAAATTACTTGGTCCTGGGAATTGTTACAGCGACAGGAAATGGACTAAGGCACTTGGCTTTCAGCTGCTCAGCTGGATAACAGGTGTCAACCACTCAGCAGCCAGAGCTCAAGGTCACGGTGAGGAAAGCCCTTAAACTCGTCTAGAGCACAGGTGTGGAGCGGGGCAGATGCCCCCCTCTCCATTTTTTCCTTCTCCCGATGCACGGCGTCAGAAGTCACCTCCGCCAGGGCCCAGGCGCTGCAATGAGGGAGGAGAGGGGCTGCCTGCACGGGGGACTTCCAAGGAGGCCTGCACAAGGGAAGCGGGCGAGACAGGGCAGGGGACAGCCCTGGGACAAGTGACACATGCAAGCCCACGTAGGTGACCATTCGGCAGAGCTGGGAGTGGGCGCCTGATACCCCATCCCATCCAGCCGGGACGTCAGAAACCCAGGTGTGTGGGTGGCAGGCACCTGCAGGGTATGGGAAGGGGAAGACGGGCTCTCTGGGAGCCCCCCAGGATGTGGCAAAGGACACGAGGACCCCCGGCAGGTCCCCCTGGGCAGGGAGAGTCATGCAGCTGCCAAGCCCACCCTGTGGTGACGCAACAGAGGTCCCCCTGGGCCCTGTACCCTTTGCCCCCTCAGCCCCGGCTGGGACCAGAGGCACACACACCCATCTCTTAACAGACTCGCTCAGAGGATGGGCTGGGGCTAGGCGTGGGTGGCTGTCATGGAGGAAGGGGCAGTGCAGGGCGACAAAGGAGAGCTCCCACATCCCTCGGGGGCTGAGCCCGCGCCTCCCCAGCACCTCAGGAGGATTTCTGGAGTTGGGCTGAACAGCAGAGGGAGCGCCGGCCACACGGTCCTGGCAGGGCAGGACAGCATCAAGGTCCCCTCACCGCTGGAGGCCGGAGGGTCAGTCTGGCGTTGCCCAGGCCTCAGTTTCCCCATCCATGCTGACCAGCCCACTTCGCAGGCCCCAGGGTGAAACGAGGCAGGAAGTGCAGTTCCTGTGTAGGGGCAGTCCCTTCTCTGCTTGTCCCCCCTCCAACCGCTTGGCCACGGTGTGGACAGTCACGAACAATCGCACGCTCACACTGCGCATCTGCCAGGTCTTGTAGGGCTGTGGTCGGCCAGAATTCTCTGTGGTCAGTGGCACTGCCCATCCCCAGCAGCCCTCCGGTGACACAGATGTCCACAAGGGCACTGGCACAGCGGCTTCCCAAAGGGCGGCCGGCCGTGCCCTTGGGGTGTCGGCTTCCTGCAGCTCCGACCACCAAGGATGCAAAGAAGTGGGGGCCCGGTATGGCCTCTCCGTGACCTTGGAGAAGTCTCCACCCTCTGAGAGAGGGCAGGGCGGAGCCTGGGGTGGCCCAGGCCCTTGTAGCTTTAGGACCTCTCTCTCTGGCTGCTGGGAGAGGGGGTATGGGCAAGTGTGGGGTCTCCGGCCCTGCCCACTGACAGAGGCAGCCCTTCCTAGACCCTGCCCACAGCTGCTCATGGCTCACCTCCTTGTTTAGGGACTGTTGGTGACACCAGGGTCCCAGAGATACCAGCCAAGGACCAAACACACCGGAGACCGAGCCACACTCCCCAGGTCTCCAGCAGGGAAGCGGGCTTTCTGTCCACATAGCCACCGTCTGTCTGCCCCATTGCCACAGCCGGTGCCAACACACAGCAAGGTCTAGAGGAGCCCCTCCCACCAGCCCTCACCGGAAACTGCCAGACCAAAGCTCTGCCACTCACTTCCTCCTGAATCATTCGGGTTTGACAAGACGACTGGAAGAGGCAAGCGAGCCAGGCCAAGGCTGAGGCCCCCCGAGCCGGCCAGCCCAGAGCTCTCTGGGCCGAACCTCCCAGGGCCACGGCCTGCGCCCCACCGCACCCCAGCTCCCGGGGGCAATCGGCGCTGTGCGTGCTTCCTGCCTACCAGGCTCCGGATCCAGACGCACACGGGTTTTGAACACAAGAAGCACATGGCAAGGACTGCGTGCGTTTTCAGGACACCTCCCTCTCCCCCTTGCCCGGCTCGACCCCTGGGCACTGATCAGTGCCCACAAAGCATGCGTTGCCTGGTGTAACGACGACGAACGGAGGGTGGACCTTGGCTGTACAAGGGAAGCCTCCGGCGGGCTGCTCTGGAGGCAGGGACGTGCTGAGGCCCCAACACTGTCCACGCCACTGAGGCCGTGTGGACTTGGAGACCTCTCCCTGGAGAGGCTGCACGTCGGGCCTGCTGGACAGCATCCGGGGAGCCGGGTGCAGCGAGAGCACAGGGCCAGGAGCCCAGGAGCCCAGGAGCCGCCCGTGGACACGTCCGCCAGGCACGCATCGGGTGGGCAGACAGTGCCCACGCACAGGCCCCCAAGCCTGCAGCAGGCCCAAGTGCAGTACGGCAGCAGAGCAGGCGCCTGCACTTGGCATGGGGAGGGGGGAGGTGGCGCTGGTGGCGTTTTTGAGGGGGAGAAGTTGCAGAGAGAGAAATCCTGACATGACAGACAGCGGGACAGCTGTGGCCTGAACTTGGTGTTCTTACGCTCAGATGTGCACGAATTAATTTCCATAAATGCTAACGGCCCATTTCTCCAAGAGCTATTACTTATGTCATCTCCCCTTGGAAACGGTTCAACACAGGGCAGGCAGATGAAAGGGAGGCGGAGGCTCCCCCTCCCCCCACGGCCCGGGCCCCTGCTCCTGGCCTCTCTCCCACCCAGGCAAGCCCTGCGAACTGCAGTCCAGACCACCCACCCTTAGTCCCACGGCCAGGTCTCCACCACCCCAGGGAGCCCAAAAGTGCTGACTCACAAAATGAAGCATAGCAGGGAAGGGGGGGTGGGGAGGGAGATGGTGACGGGGCGGAGGCAGGGGCTTCCCACCTGGAGCACCCAGGGTGCTCTAGGAGAGCCTGGTCCTGCAGAAGAGCCAGAGGGGCTGCCTGGGCGCCCGGGCGCGCGGTGTGCGTGTGTGTGTGTGTGTGGGGGGGGGCAGGGGTGCGCCCTGCAGCAGCCGGGTCTCCGCATCCGCAGGAGCAGCTGCAGGTAGGGAGGTGGGGGCGCCCTGGGCCAGGGCTCCGGGAGGGAGGAAGCTGCAGATGGGGGTGCGAGCTCGGGGAACGGGGTGCGGGGTGTAGGGGGCCAGAGGAGCCGGCAGGAGGGGAGCGCCCACGGGAGAGATGGCGGGGGCCGGGGGCACCGCGGGACCCGGGCCGAGCCGTCGGAGGAGGGCACGCGGGGCGCTCCGACGGGGCGAGGGGGAGGCGAGGCTGCGGGATGCCCGAGCCGCGGGAAGTTGTGCAGGGTCGGGGTGGCAGCTGGAAGGTCAGGCGGGAGGACAGATGGGGAAGAGAAGCGCGCACGGCCTGGGGGAAGGGAGGCGAGCGAGAAGGCGGTGAGGAGGCTGGAGAGGCTGAGACCGGCGGCGGCGGCGGCGGGGACGCAGGGCCGGGCGGGAGGAGCGGGCGAAGGGCCGTGCCCACCGCACGCCCAGACCACGCGCGGCCCGCCGGGGTCTCCCCCGCCACTCACCTGGGGGCTCCAGCTCCGGATCCTGAGTCCCGCTCCGGATCTTCCTTCCCGCCCTGCCCCTGCGACTCGAGCGCCCCCGAATCCCGCTCGCTCGGGCAGGTTCCGCCCGCAGCATCTTCACCTCGTGGGACGCCCGCGGCCACGCCTCCGGCAGTTTCCTATTGGCTGGCGCTCACGCCTCTCATCTTGATATTGGCTAAGGGATCGTCGGCCATGCAAATCAGGACGGGCCCGCTGCCTCACCGATTGGCTGGCGCTCGCGGAGGGCCGCCCCCCTTGACTTGTGCTCTGATTGGCTCCGAGGCCTTGACGACGAGAGAACGCGGGGCGGGTCCGCGGCCTGAGCGCTGGGCGCCAGCTTTCCGAGGCTCCTCCCGGGAGCGGCCCGAAGCAGCGCGCCCCTCAGCCGGTCCTCGGCCCGCAAGACCTGAGGCCAGTACACAAGACCGCGTACTGGCTGCCAGGCCTCTGGGCCCGTCGTGAGGGGACTTCCTCGAAAGCGCGGGCCTGGTCAGTCGGCCGGTCGCGGCGGGCCAGTCTCCTTGGTAACGCGGTCCACGGTGGGAGGAACCATGTGGGCTGGTGCCACGGGGGAGGTCGGACAAGGCCTCGCGAGTGGCCGCAGAGCAGGACGGGGCCTCTGGACCCGGGGATGGGATGGTTCGTTCGGGCCCTGTCTGGGGCACCCGGAACCTGAGGGGTGCGGCGGCGGGGCGCGGCGCGGGGCTCTGTCCCCGTGGTCGCCCGCCGCCAGTCCCCTCCGTGACATTTGGTGCGGTCCAGGCCGCTGGGTACTCTGAGCTCCCGGCTCGCCCTTTGCCCCCAGTCTCCGGCCTCTGCGCCCCTCTGCAGCCCCCCAGCCGAAGCGGGGCGTCGCCTGAGCGCTGCCGAGGCCCGTGGCCTTGGTTCCCTGGCCTCCGTGTGCCTCAGGCCTCTCCGTGTGCATCCTTTGCCGGCGGAGCCCGAGGGCTCGCGTCCGACTGTCCGGCTCCTGCGGGCCCTAGGGTTGTCCACGAGGCTCTGCTCGGGGCCCCTGTGGCCTTCACCTCCACGCGCCGACCAGCCAGCCCCAGTGGGCCTCTGGAGGACTTCGCAAGGGTCCCCCTGCGCCCAGGGGGAAGGCGGAACGTGGGGGGCCCCCTGCGTTCCCTGCGGCTTTCTGGGTCGCTGTGCAGGGCCGGTCCCCGAAGCTCAGGTGGTCGCTGTGCACATGGTCCTCACCAAGGCTGGAGCCCCTTTCTCTGGGGCCCTCCGGCCGCGGGGCTTCAGCCAACTGACCTCAGCCTCCCTGGCTCTGACCTCCCTCCTGCGGGGGCTGGCTTTTGGCTGGTTCACCGCTCTGAGGCTCGCTTTCCTCTGTGCGTTGGGGGCTGTGCTGGTGCTGAGCGTGTGGAGTTGCTGGGGCGATGAAGTGGCCCTGTGGCTGGGTGGCCGGCGCTTCCTGCCTGTTTCCCCCGGGAGCGCCTGCTTTGGGTTTGCTCTCTGTCCTTTGGGCCCCAGAGGTGCTTCTGCTTTTGTTCCAGGACATCTATCTTTCTTTCTTTTTTCTTTTCTTTTTTTTTTTTTTTAAGATTTATTTATTTGAAAGGCGGAGATACAGAGAAAGAAGGAGAGGGGAGAGGAAGATCTTCCATTCTCTGGTTCCCTTCCCAAATAGCCGCAAAATGCCGGATCTGGGCCAGCCTGAAGCCAGAAACCAGGAGCTTCCTCTGGGTGTCCCACGTGGGTGCAGGGCCCTAGCACTTGGGCCGTCTTCTACTGCTTTCCCAGGCCGTTAGCAGGGAGCTGGATCAGAAGTGGAGCAGCCGGGACTCGAACCGGCGCCCGCATGGGCTGCCAGTTCTGCAGGCGGAGGCTTTCCCCACCACGCCACAGCGCCGGCCCCGGGCATCCTCATTAACCAGTGTTTGCTGACCTCCTGGAGCTCCCGGTCCCACAGGGGACACTTCTGTGACAGAGTGCGGGTCGGGCCGGGAGGAGCCTCCGAGGAGGCCTCTCGGAGTGGACGCCTGAAGGTGAGGCCTCCCTCCCAGGTGTCACCCGCCACCTCCCGGCCTCACGACTGCTGTGGGAGGCGGGATCTTTCAGAACGGCGCTTCTCCGTACAGAAGGGGAGCTGGAGAGGCGGGGGCGCTGGAGGTCATGGCCGTGGCCCGCGAGGGCAGCCTGGCACCCGCGTGTTCTGCTGGCCATGTGTGGCACAGGACAGGCCGGGGACCCGGGGTCGGGGCAGAGGGCCTGGGCGTCTGCAGAGGGCGACCCTGGTGGGGAGGCTCCCCCTGAGACCCTGTTCACGTCCGTCCAGCGCGCGTCCTGTGTGTCCACCCTTCTCATGTCTGCACTGCAAGCCACTGGGAAGAAGCGGCACGGGGGTCAGCGTTACCGGTGGTTCAGTGTGATTTTGAGCTGTGCTGACGAGCTGGATACCAAGGCACGGGAGTACGGCTGCCTTCCTCAAGGCGCTGGCCGGGGTGCAGGTCCAACCAGACCTGTGACAGGTGCTGTGACCAGGGGACGTTCAGCAGCCACGCGAGCCCAGGCGTGGACCCCCGGGAGCAGCCTGGAAGCCCTCCTGGGGGAGGCGGCCCTCCAGCTGGGTGGTGGTCTGGCTCCTCTGCCTACAGGAAGGGGCAGCCGGGTAGGTTTCCTGTAGCTGCTGTAACAAAATACCACAGACCTGGTAGCTTAAAAGCAGCACAGATGTGTTCTTTGCCCGGCTGGGGGTTGGAAGTCCGGGGTCGAGGTGTGGCCAGCGCTGCTCCCTTCTGGGCTCCAGGCGGCCTGCAGCCCCCGGCCTGCAGCTCCAGCTCAGAGCCCCCTGCTTCCCTGTCTCCTGGCTGCCTGCGGCCCCTCCTGCCTGGCTCCCGTGAGGACCCTTGGGCGTCCGCCAGGCTGCCGGACCACCCCGGCAAACCGCCCACCTCAAAGTCCTTATCAGCAATGGTGTCCGCACCTCCCCCCGTCAGCCGGGCTGTGTGTCCCCGGTTCCAGGAGCAGGATCGGACAGCGCTGGGGCATCTACAGCCCACCACGCACCGGGATCAAAGGAGAAAGCAGCCCCAGGGGCCTTCAGGGGCTCCCACGATGCCCGTCAGGCTGGCCCCCCGTGCTCCGGGCCTCGTAGGGAGACAGCCTGGCTTGGGGTCTCCCGGGGAAGACTGCGGCCGAGTGTGGGTCAGGTGCTTCTCTCTGAACCAGTCACTGCAGGCCCCGGGCCGGGACAGGGGCAGCCCTTCCCTAGTGGGTGCTGAGCAGACACAGGTGACCACAGAGGTAAACCAGCCCTGTGTGCCCATCACACGCCAACAGGCTGGCTCTGCACCCCAGGGCTGCACTGAGGTGTGGGCTGGACCCAGCCCTGGCGTTCAGGGGAGCATCCCAGGCCTGTAGTCACATCCTGTGTGCCCCGGTGCCGCCGTGAGCACGGGGCGTGTGGCCTGTTGAAACAGCCCCTCACACTTTTTTTCTTATTAAATATTTTTATTTATTTGAAAGGGAAAGTGACAGAGATCATCTTCTATCTGCTGGTTCACTCCCCAAATGCCCACAGCAGTTGGGGCTGGGCCTGGTTGAAGCCAGGAGCCAGCAATTCCACCCGGGTCTCCCACGTGGGTGGTAGGAGCCCCCGTCTCTGGGCCGTGTGCTGCCAGGCAGCTGGGTAGGAAGTGGTGCAGCTGGGACTTGAACCAGCACCGTGACATGGGGTGCGTCTCCGGCATCACACCCCGGGCTTAGTCTGACGCCAACACCGGCCCCCCCATCTGAAAGATTTGTTCCAGAGTGGAGTCCCGCCCGCTGGGTCGGTAAACGTCCCCCGCTCTGGCCTGCCTTGCTCGGGGGCGGATCTTTCACTCTTGCGGGATGTTGCACCGTTCCGCGTTGTTCATTTGGAGGATCGTGGCTCGCTGAGTTCCGCAGAGCTTCCAAACATTGACGCACTCGCCGGTGCAGTCTCAGAGGGTCACAGCGCGTGTCACTGTCCGTCGCATCAGCAAAGCCTCGAAGGACGAAGCTGCCAGGCTGTGGAGGTGCACCTGTCCCCAGTCCTGCTCTTGGCCGGGGAGCTCCACCCTTACTACGGTCGTTTGCCTTGAAGTGACAAGCGCACTTGGTCCAGTTTTGAGAAAGCGTCTGCCCAGTCGGACGGGCGGTGGCTTGTCCCTCGGTCACTCTTCCTAGGAGCAATGCCGCCGATGGATGGGAAGAGCGGAGGTTTTGATCCAAAGCCTCAGAGGCACAGGGGGCCGCCCTGGCTGACGGCGGCCCGAAGTGTGTGCATGGCGGACGCTGGCGGTTTCCGCGGCGTGGCCGTGGTGCCGCTGTCCCTTGCCGTGGGTGGTGACGAGCACAGTGACCGCCTGCCTCTGGCTGTGCCGCAGCTCCCGCAGGGCCGGCACCGCGGCCTTCGCTCCGGCAGCCTGGCTGTCAGCACCATGGAGAAGACCAGTCTGCCGGTTGCAGGAACCTAGTTTTGACCTCAGGGAAGCTCTGCGGGGTCTTGTTGGAGCCCTGGGTTTGGCGACTGCACTGTTCTCAGGAGACCTAGCCCGCGGCCTTTCCTCCTTGCCTATGGAGTCCGGCCTCAGTGGAGTCAGGGCTGTGGTTCTGCGTCAGCCGGAAGGAAGCCTAGAGGAGCTCAGGTCCGCCCGTGGCCCGGCGGGGTCGGATGACGCCGTAACGCACCAGGCTGCCGAGGGGCTCTGGCACTGCTGCCTGTCCCCCACTAGCTATTTTTTTTAATGTCTCGAGTGGCTTCTCCCAGGGTGGTCCCCGGCAGCTCCAGGCTGCTGACCGTGTGCTCTGAGAGCCGGATTTCCCTCTGAACGGCAGCACAAGCCCTGAGACGCGCCTTTCATGGCCTTGATTGAGTCTCCCTCCCGGCCCCCTCCCAGGACTGCCCCGCACGAGGCCTGGAGGTCAGCTGCCCTCTCCCCCAGGCCCGGCGTCCTCCTGCGTGCTCGGCCTGTCAGCGCAGCCCTGCCCCTGCGTCACCAGGGCCAGGCGCGGCGTGGCGGGCTCTCTGCCGTGAGATGGGCACATTGGCCAGATGGTGCCAGCCAGCAGTGCGGCGACTGCGCTGGGGATTGCGGAGTGTGGCGACGGCTTTGGGGCCGATCGGTGACAGGAAACCGCGTGGCTCTGGCGCGTGGCCCTTACGTCCGCCTTCCCTTTGTGTGCCAAGGTGCAGGCGTCCTGGAGGCACCCGGGGATCCTCGCCGCCGGAATGCGGGACTGGCACGAGGTCTTTGCCCACAACGTGCTCGTGCCCCCCCACCCGCAGAGAGCACGCCAGCCGGTGAAGGAGTCCACGGCGTTCCAGTGTGTCCTGAAGTGGCTCGACGGGCCGCTCATCAGACAGGTAACGACGCTTGCCCCTGACTGCCGGTGGCCGGGCCGAGGGTGCCAGTTAATGTATTGATTCTCGCTGATTTACTTGGGTCTTGACCACAACACCCATTACCTTGGGCTCGGCAGCGTTCAGAGGCAAAGTGGCCCATCAGCAAAGAGCAGGCCGCCTTCAGCGGCTTGGTCAGCACTTCTGACGCTGGGTGAGGCTTTCTTCTGTCCCTGGTGGAGCAGTGAAGAAACCAGGGGCAGTGATCTGATCTCCTGGTTGTCCCTGCGCCAGGTTTGCAAGAGGCGGCCTTGTGCGTGGCTCAGCCTGGCCTGCTTGCAGCCCAGCAGTTTGGACTGCTGCAGGCAGGCCCGGGCATCCCGGCCGCTCTGTGGGCTGTCAGGGCCCAGGCATCCCGGCCGCTCTGTGGGCTGTCAGGGCCCGGGCATCCCGGCCGCTCTGTGGGCTGTCAGGGCCCAGGCATCCCGGCCGCTCTGTGGGCTGTCAGGGCCCGGGCATCCCGGCCGCTCTGTGGGCTGTCAGGGCCCGGGCATCCCGGCCGCTCTGTGGGCTGTCAGGGCCTGGGCATCCTGGCCGCTCTGTGGGCTGTCAGGGCCCGGGAGGGCTGTCAGGGCCCGGGCATCCCGGCCGCTCTGTGGGCTGTCAGGGCCCGGGCATCCCGGCCGCTCTGTGGGCTGTCAGGGCCCGGGCATCCCGGCCGCTCTGTGGGCTGTCAGGGCCCGGGCATCCCGGCCGCTCTGTGGGCTGTCAGGGCCTGGGCATCCCGGCCGCTCTGTGGGCTGTCAGGGCCCGGGAGGGCTGTCAGGGCCCGGGCATCCTGGCTGCTCTGTCTGCGGCCGGTCAGGGCCCGGGCATCCCGGCCGCTCTGTGGGCTGTCAGGGCCCGGGCATCCCGGCCGCTCTGTGGCCGGTCAGGGCCCGGGCATCCTGGCAGCTCTGTCTGTGGCCGTCAGGGCCCGTGTGCTCCCGGCAGCTCTGTGGCTGTCAGGCCCTGTGTACCCGGCCGCTCTGTGGCCGTTGGGCCCTGTGCTTGGTGCCCCCGTGGCCTTTTCTGCGCTCAGGCCCATGCCCTGATGGCCGCACCTCCACACGTGCCCTGCAGCTGGGGGACCTGCTGGACAAGCCAGGGTTTCTGTGGGGCCATCCACAGCACGCCCATGTGACGGACAGCCCGTGGAGGGGCATAGTGGGTCCATCCTTCCTCCCTCCCTCTCCCCTTCCCTCCCTCCCTCCCTCCCTTCCTTCCTTCTTTGAAAGGCAGAGTTACAGAGAGAGAGAGAGGGAGAGAGGGCTTCCATCCGCTGGTTCACTCCCCAGATGGCCCCAACAGCCAGAGCTGTGCCAATCTGCAGCCAGGAACCAGGAGCTTCTTCCCAGGTCTCCCACATGGGTGCAGGGGCCCAAGGACTTGGGCCATCTTCCACTGCTTTCCCAGGCCACAGCAGAGAGCTGGATCAGAAGTGGAGCAGCCGGGACTCCAGCCTGCACCCACATGGGAGTCGGCACTGCAGGCGGATGTCTGACTGACTGCGCCGCAGCGCCGGCCCCTTCCCCAGTATTTCCAGGCAAACCCGTTTGTAAATGCGTTTGTGCTTGTGGAAGTTTTCCTTTTGTCAAAGGTGAGTAGTGTGTTCTCTACTTTGCTTTTTTTAAATTCTTATCCATATATCTTATAGGTTTTCCATATAATGTGAGGACCACTGTGATTCTTTCTCAAGAATGAGTATTTCTTTGTATGAACCAGCATTTTGTAGCAAGGATGAACATTTAGACTTTTCTATTACACACACTGCCGCCATGAATAACCTCATTTACATCATATATTTCCTGTGTACACATATATCTAGAATAATTCCTACAAGCGGAATTCCCGATTCTAAGTCGTATATTAAAAATGATCATGTAAGACTTAATTATGGGCCGGCGCCGCGGCTCACTAGGCTAATCCTCCGCCTTGCGGCGCCGGCACACCGGGTTCTAGTCCCGGTTGGGGCGCCGGATTCTGTCCCGGTTGCCCCTCTTCCAGGCCAGCTCTCTGCTGTGGCCAGGGAGTGCAGTGGAGGATGGCCCAGGTGCTTGGGCCCTGCACCCCATGGGAGACCAGGAGAAGCACCTGGCTCCTGGCTTTGGATCAGCGCGTATGCGCCGGCCGCAGCGGCCATTGGAGGGTGAACCAACGGCAAAGGAAGACCTTTCTCTCTCTCTCTCTCTCTCTCATTGTCCACTCTGCCTGTCAAAAAAAAAAAAAAAAAAAAAAAGAAAAGGACTTAATTATACGTTGCTTACAAAAAGGTATGCTTTCTTCTTTCTTTTCTTTTCTTTTTTTTTTTTTAAAGATTTATTTATTTATTTGGAAGGCAGTGTTACAGAGAGGCAGAGGCAGAAAGAGGGAGGGAGGGAGGAAGGGAGGGGAAGAGACAGAGAGAGAGACAGAGATAGAGAGAGATCTTCCATCTACTGGTTCACTCCCCAGTTGGCCACAAAAGCCAGAACTGTGCTGATCCGAAGCCAGGAGCCAGGAGCTTCTTCCGGTCTCCCACATGGGTGCAGGGGCCCAAGGACTTGGCCCATCTTCCACTGCTTTCCCAGGCCACAGCAGAGAGCTGGATCGGAAGTAGAGCAGCCGGGACGCGAACAGGCACCCATATGGGATGCCGGCACTGCAGACAGCGGCTTTACCGGCTGTAACTGGTATACCACAGTGCTGGCCCGGGTACACTTTATTTTCTAAAATTTTTATTTATTTTTACTTGAAAAGTGAGAGAGACACACAGAAGGATTTTCTATCTGTTGGTTCACATCCTGAATGCCCGTAACAGCCAGGGCGGGGCCAGGCCGCAGCCAGGAGCTCAGAACTGAGCCTGAGTGTTCACTCAAGCCCTGGAGCCGTCACCGGCTGCCTCCCAGGGTGAGCACTGATAGGGAGCTGGATAGCCAGGGGCGAAGAGGAATTCACCCGGAGACCAGAAAATAGTTGGAGCAAGTAATTCAGGAACTTACTGGAATCTGCCTGTCGGGGTGACTGCTGCCGTCTCCCTGCGACATCCACAGCTGTCCGCGTCCTCTTTGTGTTCAGAAGGAAGATGTGAAGTCAGTGACCTCTGCTCCCTTAAAACCTGGAGAAACAGGACAAATCAGACGCCAGGTCCACAGAGCAGAGGAAGTGGTGTCTGAGCAGGAGTCACTCAAGTGAAAGACAAGCAATAGGAAAACCGACACAGCCAGAAGCGGTTCTCTGAGATGAGCAGTAAAAGCCGTAGGCCCCGGCGAGGCTGATCACGAGAAGGAAACACAGGAAAGCGTCGCTGCGTCTCCCAGGTTGACTTTCACCAAGGGTACAGGAAGATTAATTCTTCCCACTTTTGTATGGTCATCTGGCAGGCACAGGGAACTCCTGGCCACGGATGCCCACAGTGGCCACAGCAGGGCCCGGCTGCCTGCCAAGAGCTGGGAACACACTCCCACGTGGGTGGTAGGGGCCCAGCCATTGCAGCTATTAAGCTGCCTGCCAGGATGTGCCCCAGCAGGAAGCTGGAGCCAGGACCAAGCCGTCGGTCCCCACTGGTGTCTCAATCGCCAGGGCGGACACCCTCGAGTAAGACTCTTTCTAGATAAGCGATTGTAGGAGGCAGGGAGAGAGCACCCCCAGACTCACTGTTCCAGGACCAGGGCACTGCAGGTGCGTGCAGACTGACAGCCCTCGTGGGTACTGAGGCAGAAGTCCTTAGCTGTCGCCCTCTCATCCAGCACTATGTTTGAAGGATAGTATGTTAGGCTCAAGTGAGGCTTATCACAGAGACACAAAGTTGGTTCTGCATCAAAAACAGCATTTAAAAAGAGATGAAGTTGGAAATAAATGTTAAAGGGGCCGGTGCTGTGGCGTAGCGGGTAAAGCTGCCGCCTGCGACACCGGCATCATGTGGGTACTGGTCATGTCCCGGCTGCTCCACTTCTGATCCAGCTCCCTGCTAATGCACCTGAGAAAGCAGTAGAAGATGGCCCAAGTCCTTGGGCCCCTGCACCCACATGGGAGACCTGGAAGAAGCTCCTGGTTCCTGGCTTCAGATTGGTGCAGTTCTGCTGTTGTGGCCATCTGGGGAGTGAACCAGCGGATGGAAGACCTCTCTCTTTCTCTCTGGCGCTCCCTCTTTGTCTGTAACTCAGACTTTCAGATAAATAGAAATCGATGTAAGGAAAACGTGATCGAGATGGTCTGGCGGGTGTGCGTGGGTTTGCTGTGTTGAGCGTAGATTGCCGTGCAGGGTGGCAGACCTCCCTGTGAAGGGTTGGGCTGAGAACGCAGCACGTTTGTTCTGTGCTTGGGGCACTTTATTTATTTATTTTTTTTACCATGTTTCTTTTAACTGCTCCACTGGCTTGCTTTTTTTTTTTTTTTAAGATTTATTTATTTATTTGAAAGGCAGAGTTACACAGAGCGAGGAGAGGCAGAGAGAGAGAGAGAGAGACAGACAGACAGACAGACAGAGAGGTCTTCCGTCTGCTGGTTCACTCCCCAAATGGCCACAAAGGCTAGAGCTGGGCTGATCTGAAGCCAGGAGCCAGGAGCTTCTTCCAGGTCTTCCATACGGGTGCAGGGGCCCAGCCACTTGGGCATCTTCTACTGCTTTCCCAGCCCACAGCAAAGCGCTTGATCAGAAGAGGAGCAGCTGGGACTTGAACCGGTGCCCATATGGGATGCCAGCACTGCAGGCAGCGGCCTCACCAGCTACACCACTGTGCCGGCCCCTCATTGACTTTCTTTGTTTAATCCATGGACGTGAGTTGTACTTTGGGGTGGCTGTTTTGGCTCACTTGGTCCTCACTGGCGTGCCCAGGTGGTTGCCCGGTGGCCTGTCTTCTCAGTGCTGGGTCCAGGTGGGCAGTTGCACCTAGAAACTTGTCTGAGTGGGAAGGGGTCCCAGAGAAGGTTGTCAGACTCAGGTTCTGGGGAGAAGTCCAGGCCAGCAGTAGGGATTGGTGAGCGATGGCTCGTGTCTGGGGAGGCCTTCGAAGACGGTGAGGAGGAGCGGCGGGGCCCTGGCCTGACCCAGAGGTGAGAGGTTCACGTGCCGAGTACCCACACGTGTGTGGCCTGGCGCTGGGCTGAAGGACTGGAGCAGGGAACAGCATTCCCCCTGGCGTTCTCAGAGTTCCCGCGGCAGCCGTGGACGTGAAGCCGGGCAGGGGATGGGGCTGGCTGGCGGCCGCCTTGTCGGGCATGATGGGAGCCTGGGACTGCGTGGCAGGTGCGAGGAGCAGGGAGCGGGCAGTGTGGCCGCAGTGGGGGCGAGGCCACAGGCAGAGGTCTCTGGTCCTGAGTGGCGACTGAAACGGACTGGGTCTCGTCTTCCTTGTCCCCGTGCACGGTGCCGCCTTGTTTTTGCACACACACAGTGTGCTGGCGTCTGTCCATGGGGACCTGGGGGAGGGGACACAGCGAGGCCTTCCCGCCTCTGCCTCACGTTCCGCTGCAGCCACCAGGGTCACAGTCACGTGCCCGCTGTCAGTGGCCCGCGCCGTGGCCCCTGCTCCAGCCCTGGTCCCGAATCAGCCATGCCATTTCTGCCTGGGATGCTCGCCTGGCCTCGTCCCATCTGGGTTGTAAAAGCCCAGCTTCCCATCATGCCCCGGGAGCCCCTCCCGCACCCCTCGATGCGTGTGCCTCCTCTTTCCGAACGTTCTGGGATCTTACAGTGAGGCCAGCAGATCCGACGGCCGCTGCTGGAAGGCTGGTCACTCGCAGGTCCCAAGCCAAGGGGGCAGGCTGGGCCAAAGCCTTCCCTGTGGTCCTGGCAGGAAGGGTGGGTGAGGCGGAGGACGTGGCAGGCCCACCCCCAGCCCCAGGGTGATCGGAGGAGTGCTGTCTCCTGGGCAGTGAGAGCCGGGGTGCGGTGGGTGGGGCTGGTGTGGGCCAGTTGGTCTGCGTGTCAGAGTTCTCTCAGGCTGGCCCGGGAGGCAGTCACCAGGCAGTGAGGCCCCAGCTGCCGGAGCGGGAGACTACGGAAGTAAGGAGGGAGCGGAGTTAGCGAGTGTGGTCCAGGCACCGCCCAGCACCAGGCTCCTCTGTCCCCAGGCCTTTGGTTCCGTGGCTGCTTCTGCTCTCCAGTCACAGACCCCCAGGGCTCTCAGCCGCACCGTCACCTTGACTGTCGCTTCGTCCCTCGCCTGGCTTTTCACGGAAGCCCCGTGATGGCGGGAGTTTGTCTTGTTCCTGAACAGTGCCTGCAGACACGCGGCAGATGTTTGTTGCACGAGTGAATGGAAGCAAAGCAGAGCCGTGTCCCGGGCGGTACCCACGCACTGCTGGCGTCGCCGTGACGGGCAGTGGAGGCGGTCAGCCTGGGATCCGGTCCCTGCCCCTGGTTTCGGGCTGCCTCGTGCTCTGTGGTCCTCCGTCCTCAGAGAGCTGCCTGCCTTTGCCAACGCCGTCCCACGGTGACTGACGACTTGAGGATGCGGCGTCTTTGGTTGTATCGGGAAGGACTCATTTGTTTAGAAACGATAAATCGTCCACAGTGGCTTACAGCAGAAGCGGCTCATTAACGCAGCAGCACACAGGCCCACGGTTTGGTCCAGGGTCTGGGGTGATGCCGCCTGGGCGTGTTCTCTCTCTGCTCCCGGCTCCATAGGGGCTGCCAGCGGCTGTCGGCCTGCGTGCTGGCAGGCGTGCCTGTGTCTGCAGCCCTGACCTCCCGTGTCTTGTTGGCCGTGCGAGTCGTGAGTCTGTGTCTGTTCCAGGCAACTTCAGTGCTCTCATTGGCTGGGGGAGGGCCAGCACTTTGACTTAGAACCCCACTGTGAGGGGCCAGCGCTGTGGCGTAGCAGGGAGAGCCACCGCCTGCACTGCCGGCATCCCGTGTGGGCGCTGGTTCTAGTCCCGGCTGCTCTACTTCCGATCCAGCTCTCTGCCATGGCCTGGGAAAGCAGTGGAGGATGGCCCAAGTCCTTGGGCCCCTGCACCCACATGGGACACCCGGAAGAAGCTCTTGGCTCCTGGCTTCAGATCGGCACAGCTCCGACTGTTGCAGCCAATTGGGGAGTGAACCAGCGGATGGAAGACCTCTCTCTCTTTCTCTGCCTCTCCTTCTCTCTCTGTGTAACTCTGCCTTTCAAATAAATAAATAAATACAAGAAAAAGCAGAGACTTATTTTTTTTAAAAAGACCCCACCGCGAGCCATGGCGAGATGGGGTTCCCAGGAGGCAGCTGGGCTGCTGATTCCGGCCGGAGCACTCCGTCTGGATGCCGAGTGGCCCGGCAGTGGCCGCGGGTGCTCGTGACGGCGGCACTCCTCAGGGCCCGCTCCCTGCTGTCTCCTAGGGGCTGCTGGAGGTGCTGTCGGAGGTGGAGTGCCATCTGCGAGTGTCTCTCTTTGATGTCACCTACCGACACTTCTTCGGGAGGACGTGGAAGAGCTCCGTGCAGCCGACCAAGCAGCTCTCGAGGCAGCCGTCCCGGGTCGTCTTCAATGAGGTGAGGCCTCGCGACGCCGGGCAGGGCAGCTCCGCGGTGGAGGCGGGCAGTGCGGGTCCTGGGCTGTGGCCTAGGGAGGGCCAGAGAAGGCCAGCGCGCCTCAGACCCCTCGGAACGTGGCCGGGCGGCAGGTGCAGTCGCTGAGTGTAGGCTTAGCGGGGGGGCCTCTGTTCCCAGACAGGACCTCCCGCGGGAGCCGGGTGGGTGCACAGCTCTGGCTGAAGGTGAGGGGGGGACCTGGGGTTTGGATTAATTTAGGAAGTCATCGATCGCATCTGCTTCCTCTTCTGCCTTTCATTTCCGTTTTCTGTTTCCACCGTGGGGAAAACGCGATTCAGTCGAGCAGTGTGCCCGAGTAGAAGGTGGCAGAGTGCGGAGTCACCCCTGGGCCTGCGTCTCCAGACGGGGCAGGCCGCGCTGGCCCTGGTTGAGTCACCTGTCCCTGCTCCGGGGGCTCCGTCGGCTGCCCTGTGTTCCACGTGTTCTGTCTCCATGCGGCAGCACTGATCGCGCACGACCGTGGTCCGTGCCTGCTGTCTGGGGGGCCATCACGTTGGGCGCCAGGGGACGATGGTGCCACCCAACAGAGCCTGCAGCCTGGTGGGGTGACGCCCAGCATGGGATCAAAGGATTCCAAGTTGTGAAAAGTCCGTAGGGACCTGCTAGGGACAGGTGGCCTGCTTTGGCAGGGTGGTGAGGGAGGGTCTGGCACACAGCCGGGCCCCCCAGGGTGGGAAGGAAGCAGGCCCTGGGGCGAGCAGAGACAGTGATGCTCCCAGCGGGGCGGGGCAGCCGGCAGCTGTGGGGGGTGGGTGGGGAGCGGGGCCAGCACGGCAGCGCAGGGGCCGGCAGAGTGGGCCAGTTCTGCCGTGGAGGTCTCTCCAGGCCTGCCTGCTGCCTCACACGTGACCTTGACTGGGGAGAGCCTGGTGCTGGGACAGCTTGTGTGAGGAGTCGCGACGGTGACCACAGCCATCCTTCAAGACATCGCTCCGGGCACCCCCTGTCCAGGGCGCCCCCTTTCCTGCGGGGGCCTGTTCTGACCGTGGTTGACCCGTGACTGAGCTGGCTGTGAGCTTGCTGCCGTTGCACACGTGGCGTGGCTTGTGCGTGTCTTGGCGTGAGTGGTGGAGGAAGGTGGTGCCTGAGTGAGGAAGGTCACGCGGGGCCCCGGTCAGGTGCACGTCCCAGGAGCTCAGAATGTGTGACGGCGCCGCTGGCAAACAGCTCGCGTGGGCGCCTCTCACGGGGCCCCCGGCTCGCGAGCCCGGGGGAGTGCACGCTTGCTGTGGGCGGGTGCAGTGACCCTTCTGCGGCCATCTTGGTGCTGGCCGGCTGTCCCCTCGTGCTGTGACGTTCGTCCTGGGCTCCTGTGGATGGTGCTGCTGCTGCTGGCCGGCCCCCGCCCCTCAGGTCGGCCACTCGGGGCCAGCTGCTTTGACTTCCTCTTTCTCGCGTGTGCAGAGGGAGGCCGGAGGATGCCAGTGCTGTGTGAAGGCTTGTGCCATGAGTATGGCGGTGGAGTGACGGGAGCTGTCCTTCACTGTGGCGCCTAGGTCACTTCATGCTTGTCGGCTCCGTGGCGCTGTGTGTTCTGTCTCCATTTCAAGTGGAGGGAAAGTGAGGTGAGGTGCGTGGAGATGGAGCCCGTCCCCCCTCACAAGGGGGCGCGCGGGCCTTGGGCAGTGAGGCCTGGGCAGGTTGGAGTGCAGCACTGTGCCGTGAGCCCCTGTCCCTTTGTCCCGCTGACTGCATGTCCCCGACACGGCCCCGTGGTCTGAGTTTTGGAAGTGAGGTGGGATTATGCTTTGAAACCAGCAGGGGGACGCTCTGTCCCTGAGGCTCCGGGACGCGTCCCTCCCTCGCTTCCGCTCGTCACAGCTGTCCACGTGCGAGCGCTTCGGCCCGGTCTGTGCAACACCTGCCCCGCGCCCTGCGCCTGGGTGGGAGGGGCGGGCTTCTGCCGCCCTGATGCTCAGGCTACAACACTGGTCGTGTTGTCAGAGCCGATCTGCAGGTCGGGGGTCCCCTGCCACACTGCCGAGGGGTCTGCACCTC